AAATAAATATATATATATAATGTATCACAATATTCTTTAATCTTATACCATAAACCTGCCATGTGGAATTATAATTGAAGTTAAAAAGTGACAAAAAATAACTTTTTAGACGGATTAAAAATAAAAAATAAGATAAATAAATTGAAAAGGGGAAAGTGTTGTAATAAATGTATCCTCTTTAATTTATTGTTGCTGATAATGTATAATATGGCGTTCTAATTCTGCAAGTTGGAGTAGCCACGCCATCACTACAATTGCAATCAGGACATTGACAGAATATTGGGTCATTGAAGTGTCTCTGTTATGTGATTTGTTCGTAATTAATCTGACAATAAAATTTTCTGAATAGGACTCTATTATTGATCCACAAGAGATCAATACATCATCTAAGTGACTAGTTAATTTAACTTATAGAAAATGTTAAGTGTATTTGATCCAGAGAAGGGGGGATGATCTTTTAAGGGATATTATGGGCACATTCAAGGTTTACAGGAAGACAAGAGATCAGAATTCAGTAGTTAAGTCTGGGCGTAGATATTGAAATTTTGTGAGACTTTACAAGATGTGTTCAATTCGAGTTGGAAGTAGTCTTGAATTCCATTTAGGATTCATGGAGGCTACTCAACTTAAACTTCAGTTCATGCATATATAAATGGTACTATATTCCCTTGAAAAGGCATCTCGAATATTCCACAAATTCATAGAATATTCATAAAGAGATCAAATCCAAATCATCCTAGTTTAGAAAATACATCACTAACAGCCCTCGAATCATGGATAATCTTACAAGGGAACGAACAGATTTGTACCCATATTGATTTATTAATAAAATATTCTTGTTTCTTTAGAGTTTGCTTGTGGTTGATTTATTTTTCATATGTTTAAAATTTATTGCATACACACGGTATGACAAAATCCTCCGGTGCAAATCCAAATTAATAAGATTCTAACGTGCGATTGGAACACCAGATGAAAAAATAAAATAACGTTTCAAACTAAATTTAGCCGTTAGTTTTAAGTAATTGGCAGTGTTGAACCTACATATTCTGTTCCGTGTTGCTCTTGATAAACTGCAGCTCTACTTGTATCAAATTTGATTCAATCCCCACTCCAAATTAAGCTTTAAAATTCGAGCAACATATAGTCAATCACATCACAAGAAATTATAAATAATTAAAACTCCAACAGATGGATTACATATTTACATTATATGACATGGCCTCAGTACTACTCCAGGCAATAATATAAAGAACAACAAATGCATTTTATAGAAATATATAGGGTAACCATGCACCGGTTCTCTGGCTCCGTAGAAACCTGATCAGACTAGCTCGTATGTATTTAACGAAAAACAAATCGATAGAATTACATATACATCATTTTAAAATTCACACTCACACCTGTAAAATTTAAATTCTGAAAACCCCGGCCCAACGTGTAAACATATATCAAAAGTAAACAAATGAAAGGTAGGCTAAGAGAGCCATAGCAATAGAAGACATGCACAAGGCTGGGGTAGATGATGATGAGTTGTTGCTAGAACGAGCACCAGCACGGACTACAGGGGTCAATCTGGTGGTTGAAGTCCTTCCACTGCCACGACTCCCACTCACCCTGGCAAAGGTAGGTGTTAGGAGGATGCACATGATGATAGAAAGCACAATTACAACCTTCATAACGTTCTTCATCTTTATTTTTAATTTTCTTGCTTATTCCCTATTAGCTAATTGAATTTACCTTTCTTCCTCTTCTAAGTGTTTCTCTCTTTTAGGTGTAAGAAAAATGTTTGGATATTATCATGTAGAAATAAAACAAGCTTGTCTATTTATATTGAAATTTTGCACGTTTTCTCATCAACTGTAGAGAGGACCCCCCGCGAACTTTCTTTGACACGGTGTGAAAACTTGAACTAGTGTCCAATTTGACAAATACGTTGAAAAGTCAACAAAAGAAAGCTAATTACTCCGTACACAATTTGCCTCGTTTTTAATTAGATTTCACAAAAGAAATAATCTTCACATTTTGTAAAAAAGAGAGAATAGTAAAAAAAATATCCTGATTTTTTGAGTTTGATATTTAAATTATCATCAACTCTTTATTAAAACAGATCTCTACTATAAGTTATTTCGTTTCGTAAATATCACCTTTGCTAAATACATGAAGATGGAGGAAACTGGTCTTGGAACTAATTTCGGTTTTCATGACATGTGTTTTACAAGAAAAGATTTGAAGGGATAACGTAAAAGAAATTAGTATTATATAAAATACTTAAATTTAAGTGGGTGAGAAATTTAAATGATATATTAGAATTTGAATAATCTAAAAACACGTTCAATTATTAAAGTTGTCGACCTAAACTTACGAAATTCAAATAAATATTTCCTCTTTATCTATTGTTACTATATAATACTAACATTTATGCTGGCATTCTATATTGAAAGTCAATAGTGGGACCGTGTTAATCCAATTTTACAAGTTGGAGTCACCCATCAAATGTATTTTCTTGAAATGACTAGTTAATTTTCCGTGTTTCATATAGTCTAACACGTAATTAGTATTTTTAAAGAACGTTTCTTTCTAAATTCAATTTGATAGAAAGAATGAACTTTTTTCCGCGTATATACATAAATTAATTAATGATCTAAATACGTAGTTTGCTTCTTTTTCTTATTAGATTTCAAAAAGAAATAATCTTGACATGTAACAAAAATGAAGACGCAGGAAACGATCTTTGAACTATATTTATATTTAATAGTTGATGTTTTCATATCAGTTTTGATATCCCCTATTTATCTGTTATTATATGTGTCAATCGGAGAAGAACTACTCCATCCGTCTCAATTTATAATGTAGTTTAACTAGTGACAGAGTTTAATCAAGAAAGAATATTTTTTGAAACTTGTAGTCTAAAATAAGTCATAAATGTTTGAGTGGAATATGAATCATTCTATCAAGAGTAAATAGATATTCTCTATGTCCAATAATACTTGCTTCTATTGACTTTGCAGACTTCTTAAGAAATTATATATCGAAGGGTAATTTTACTATATCACCATTTGAATATAATAAATATATTGTCTTGAAAAATGTAATAGAAAAATGGCTATAATTAATGATAAGGATAAATTAGAAACTAAATGTAAAATAATTCATTGATTTCATAAAGTGGACAAGTATTGTTGGACATCTAATGGACAAATATTGTTGGCCGGTGATAGTATTTTAAAGTTAATAGTAATTACAAAATGTAGGAATGTGTTATTTTATTTTGGAGGAACTAAAAAAAATCGAGTCATATAATATAAATTGGGATAGGGAAAATAATTAAAAATTAAGTAAGAAATTATAAATGATCAGGATTATTTCTTAAAAACTCGTTCAGTTATTAAAAAAGAAAGTGTGGTCGACCAACGTCAATAAAAGAGACATTTAGTAGGAAAGCTCGAAGGCACAAATGTGCCATTCTCTAAGTTCAACGGAAGGGAGAGATCAATGTCCTTTACAATGTCGACAAATTTAATATTGTTGTATATTTGAAAAGTTGCTAGTTTTGTTTTTCTTCATTAAAATGTGTTGTATTTCAGTTACTACAATATAAAGTTTTGGCATCACAAAAAATATAAGTTTGGATAGTCAACTGGATTGGCATAATATCATGTGTTTCTTTTGAATGTCCTTTAATATATATACACTTTCTCTACTTCAATTAATTTATAAAGTACAACAAATGCATTCTATTTATACAAACATATGAATAAATTTAAGGGAAAATGATTCATTAATCAATTTATAAAGTACAAAAAAAAACAATTGTATACATATACATTTAAAAATTCACATATATCAAAAGTAAACAAATGAAAGGTAAGCAAGGAGAGCCATAGCTATAGATGAGATGCACAAGGGGGTGGATGATGATGAGTTGTTGCTAGCGCCGCGAGCACCAGCACGGACTGCTGGGGTCAATCTGGTGGTTGAACTACTCCTTGTACTGCCACGACTCCCACTCACCCTAGCAATGGTAGGTGTTACGAGGACACACATGATGATACATATCACAAACACAGCTTTCATAACGTTCTTCATCTTTTATCGGATTTAACTTGTACCAACAATCGATCTCTTTCTTTTGTAACTGTTAGGTGTATGAGAAAAATATATGGAGAAACAATAAACTTAGCTTGTATATTTTATAGTATTGTATGTAATCAGGCAATGTTAGGAACTTTCTTTCACACGGTCTGGTCTGAAAAATTCAACTAGCAGTGTCCTTTTTTGATAAGTACGTTCAAAGTCAACAGGAAATTCGAGGAAACCAAATAAATAAATAAATTTGATTACAGAGTGCTCGGAAATTTCATTTTTATCAATTTTTTATTTAACATCATAAGATTAAAAGACATTTTGATATATTTTACATATTTTTAATTTAAGATCACAAAATAAAAATAAAAATTTATTTTTTAAACTTCATTTCAATTCAAAAAAGAAATCGAAAAGCCGGTCACTAGTGCAGTCATATAAAACGTTTATATATATTGAAGAAGTTTAACGTTTATATAGAAAAAAGTACCTTCATAGTGTAAAATTTATTTTACACGTTTTGAGTATATATAGAAGTTAAATTCACCCTATAATATATATATTATTAATTAATAAACTATTAGTTAGCAGTTATGAATGTATGAGGCCGGATTAGTCAAAGGAAAACTAGAGGATAGGCAAGATCATAGACAGCAAAAAATGCGGTTAATTTCCACCATTAATTTTGCAAATATAATCAATTTCTGCTTTAAAAGTTTCAGTTTTAGCTCCCTATTCTTCCTCAGTTTTTTTCCTTTTTTCTTCTTCTCTATATTGGAATTCTAGCCTACTATTCCAGGACCTCCCCCACCCAAAAATATTTAAAGTAATTATCTCTTTTCCTATGGAATTTTCATCTCATTGTCTTTGTGTTGTAATTTTGTTCAGTTTCTAATTTTGAGGATTTCAATTTTGGTGATAGGTATTTCATAAAAAATGGCAGATGGTGAGGATATCCAGCCACTTGTCTGTGATAATGGAACTGGAATGGTTAAGGTACGAAATACTGAAAACACATTTTTATATTTTCCAAACATTTATTAAATTTCAATTCTTGTAAGTAATTCGAATGGATAGACTAGTTCAGAGTACTAAACTTTCGCTATATACATAATTGAGAGATCATTTTCACTTTATACGTAGGGTATCTCCGTAACGACACCTATTTGTTTTTTGGCCATCTTAACAAAAATGTGTTGCTCAAATTTCTACATGACTTGCCTGAATTAATAGGATTTGGTGGACAATTTCTAGCGATCGTCATGATTTATGACAAGACAACTTGACGAATTTTATGGCAATCTGCTAAAATCACCAAAGTTTGGTTGCCAATTTTTGGTGTTCGGTCACTGTACTATCTAACGAATTTAATAGCGATTCACCAAAACAATTTCTGGAGATAGTTTTTGCCACAAATCTACTTTTGTAAATTGAATGACGATATTATCTCTGGCATGAAAGAAGCTATTTCTGCAAATCACCTTATTTAGTATTTGTTTGAGACACTAATACTACGACTTAAACTCGTGATCACAACTCTTAGCAATGCTCCCCATCAATATCAATAGATAAAAAGCCATATATAGATTTGCCAATTATATCTTGATTTGTGTAATTGTCAATTATAGGCGGGATTTGCTGGAGATGATGCTCCAAGAGCAGTATTTCCTAGCATTGTTGGTCGCCCTCGTCATACAGGAGTAATGGTAGGAATGGGGCAAAAAGATGCATATGTAGGAGACGAAGCTCAATCGAAACGTGGTATTCTCACATTGAAATACCCAATTGAGCACGGTATTGTTAGCAATTGGGATGATATGGAGAAAATTTGGCATCATACTTTTTACAACGAGCTTCGTGTGGCACCAGAGGAACACCCTGTTCTGCTCACAGAAGCACCTCTTAACCCGAAGGCTAATCGTGAGAAGATGACTCAAATCATGTTCGAGACATTCAATACTCCTGCTATGTATGTTGCCATTCAAGCTGTTCTATCCCTTTATGCCAGTGGTCGTACAACAGGTGAACAAATTTCTCATTCCTCTCTCTGTATCTAAGAAATTTTGTCCTTACGTAAGAACATTGAATATCGAATGTAGGTATTGTGATGGATTCTGGTGATGGCGTCAGTCACACTGTCCCAATCTATGAGGGATATGCTTTACCACATGCTATTTTACGTCTTGATTTGGCTGGTCGTGACCTTACTGATCACTTAATGAAAATCTTGACGGAGCGTGGTTACTCATTTACCACTACAGCAGAAAGGGAAATTGTGAGGGATGTTAAGGAAAAACTCTCATACATTGCTCTTGATTATGAGCAAGAATTGGATACATCAAAGACTACTTCTTCTGTTGAGAAGAGTTATGAGTTGCCTGATGGTCAGGTTATTACAATTGGTGCCGAGCGTTTCCGTTGCCCAGAAGTACTTTTCCAGCCTTCAATGATTGGAATGGAAGCTGCTGGAATTCATGAAACCACCTATAATTCAATCATGAAGTGTGATGTGGATATTAGGAAGGATCTCTATGGAAACATCGTACTTAGTGGTGGTACCACTATGTTCAATGGAATTGCTGATAGAATGAGTAAGGAAATTACTGCATTGGCTCCAAGCAGCATGAAAATTAAGGTTGTTGCTCCACCTGAAAGGAAGTATAGTGTTTGGATTGGAGGCTCTATTTTAGCTTCTCTAAGTACCTTCCAACAGGTTAGTAACAACTTCCAAATTTACACAATTCAGTTACGTTCATTCTCACTAGCTACTTCATATAGTTTGTTTGCAGATCTGATTTAGCAAGTTTCATCACTGATTTTAGTTGTAACAGTGAAATGTTGTTATAGAGAAGTTTGACTCTGTGTCATTTTATTTTATTTCACTTTGAAATGCAGATGTGGATCGCAAAGGCAGAGTATGATGAATCTGGTCCTTCCATCGTCCACAGGAAATGCTTCTAATTGTTTAGACACGTAACTAACTATAAGTTACTTTGTTGTTATAACCTAAGGCAAAGAATTTTTCCAGAATATATTGATTTTCATATTGTGAAGCTTTGCCGTTTAATTGTAACTCGAAACACTTCTGATTATATCTGTATATAACATGCAGAAATATAGATATGCATCCTGTTTCATTTTACCACAGAACAATATTGCTCATCAACTATAGTTTCCTACTTGTGCTAATATTTTTTTCACTTTAATTGGAGTCAAAAAAGATTACAAGGTGAGGAATCGAACCTTTCTCAATAGCATGAGTCAACCAATTGAGCTACTAAGATTTCTCAAGTTATGAATTCATATCGACTATTTGTTACAATTTTCATGAACTTTACGTATAAATTTAGCAACTAGTATTGGATTCAGATGAACTGGTATCGATATACTACATCCACCCCTGATTGGAGTCACAGCTTGTATAACTTTAACAACTTGTATCTGCAATGCCCAAATATTGGGCCCAACACCAAATTAGGCCTCTACACTTCGATCCGAACCCTCTTTAAGTAACTTCGGCCTATTGCCTCACATAACTAAATTTTTTGTTTATTTTTTCTAGCTGATATACATAGATATATTTAAACACGATTACATGCATATCATGTATGAATTATACATATCTTATATAACCGCAGGTTAGGTTTCGATTAAGCAATTAGGTAGATGATTATTTAAATTATTCTCAAGCTTTTAGCTAAAATCTGCTGTCAAAAAATACTTTCAAAGATAAGCCAATTTTTAAGAACACACTTCTCAAAAAAATACCCCCACATAACAAACACACAGCATATGACTTTTCTTTAATTTGTCAATTCCATTATGTTTTTCAAAGAGACGATTAATGCAATATATTGTGCACATTTAAATCATGGACATACTTATTATCGTCCACGTACAATTTTTTAATCAATTGTGTCCAGCTTCATGAATCTGTGAATTTGGATATACTTTTTTTTTATTTAATATTCATTTTGACTAAAACAAAATAATTTAAAGTGATCCCTACAATTGGCAGAATTAAATTAATCGTTATCTAGTATTTTTGAGCTGTTATTTTCTTAATAAAAATGTTGACTAGAGGTATAAGGACCACGATCACATATGTGTAATTTGTTCATCCACAAAATCCCATACCAAATTGCCTATTTTTTCAACGCACACATGATCTGCCATAAGTTCTCCCAAAAAATCAAAGGGGATTTCAGTTGAATTTATTAAATGTGAAGAACTGAATTTTGAAAAAATTGTGTCATAAATTTCAGTATTGATCACTAAAGTTAGCATCTACATACCTGAAATGTTGGGCCCAAATATTTATGACAAAATGACAGGTTTGCTTATTTATTGTTTGATGAATTTGATATTCCTAACTTCTTCTTCTACTACTCAACCTTCCCACCCAACTTTTTTTTTGTGCATTTACTATCTAAATTTAAAAGATTGGTTAGCAGTTAGCCATAAGGGATGATTTCATAATCCAGAATAGGTCTGACTTAACTTGTCCACTCCTGATTCATGCTGCAGTCTTGGTGGTTATACAACCTCAGGAAGTCATAAATATACGTAACGGATAAAAACTTTGGAGATCAGGGTTTTAAATTCTAATCAAGAAAAAAAAATGTTGAGTGGTTTTTTCTAATATGTGGAAGGTTAGTAAGTAGCTGTAGAGAATCTTAGTAACTCAATTGGTTGACTATCTGCACTTTCACCTAGTTAATGAAGGGTTGATAGTTGTGGTTGGCCATCATCTTAGTAACTCAATTAGTTGGCTATCTGCACTTTCACCTTGTTAATGAAGGGTTGGTAGATGTGGTTGGTCATCATCTTAGTAACTCAATTGGTTGGCTATTGGAACTTTCATATGGCTATGTGCATGCACTTTCACCTTGTTAATGAAGGGTTGATATTTCAGCTTGATAGCTGAGGGTTGTCGCACTATGTGCCTTGTTTGGCTATCTGAACTTTCTTAGATGAGGGGTGTCGCACTATGTGCCTTGTTTGGCTATCTGAACTTTCAGATTGATAGATGAAGGTTGTCGCAATATGTGCAGGAAGGGAGGGGGCTTAATCTCCTCCTCCTTTTCTCTAAAGAAATGACATTTGGATCTAACTCAATCCCAAAAATTAGCTCATGAGGAGAGAATTATCCAAGTTTATATAACCAGACCACCAGTCCATGTCTCAACCAATGTGGGACTTTGATCCAAGAGTCTACAAAAAATGATCCTCTACCCCATAAAGTTAAGTGTAAGGTCTACTTACATCCTACTCTTCCTAAACCCCACTTTTCGAATCACACTCAATGTTTTGTTGTTGTTGTTGATGTATAAGCTTTGATTATCCAAAATTTGTTAGTGATAAAAAGCAGGTATAGAGAAAAATAGTCATACTAGGTGCGAAATGAACTGATTATTTACCCAAAAAAAAAAAGATATATTTACGTAGCAACCTTAACTATTAGGAGCGTTTAGTTTGATACACGTAAGAATGAGAGAAAAAAATCATAAAGACGAAAACATGAGAACAACAAAGCAGATAAGAAATTGATTGCATGCCGCGTCCGTTAAGAGTAAGAAGAATTAATTGATTTGACTTACTTTAGCTGCTGACTTAATTGCACCAAGTCATTTTATAAATTAAAATGAAAGAAGAAAAAATACTATACTATGTTTGAACAGAATTCTGTTCACATACAACACGCCATATTTGTCAAAAAGTTGAACAACTAAGCATTAGAAAAAGAATTCAAATTCTCCTTCTTTTCTTTTTTAATCAAAAGAGACTTTGAACCTTGTTTCCTCCGTTCTGGGCAAAGTTAGAATTTTCATTAAGGATTCAAAACATAAAAAAATAACACTCAAGTGTTCAACATGTACTATACTATAAAAAAATAAATTGATGTACTATATGATATACAAGGTAATTTTCTAGTGAATAAACCTGTAATGCTCCCCCAACTCTGCCTCAGAATTTGATTGGGAGTCAAGCAGGAAGTTTAGAGCATGTTCATGAGTTGTGGCAAATGAAATAACATACAAAGTTTGAACAGAGTTTCTTCTAAGAGATGTCATTTATTAAAGAAAATTACACTTAATATGACAGCTTATAAACTGATAAAAGGAGTTGATCTAACACCTTTACATTCCCATCCATCAGCCACAGTACATTTTACAACTAAGTAACACTGGTTCCAGGGCTTAGTTGCTATTTACAAAATGGTGATTTAAGAAAGAACAAAAATTGGATGTTTGATTTTCATTTTTTTTGAATAGGTCTATAACTCTTTAATTTTTTTCCCTACTTATGCACTGGATCTCCATATTCTTCCCTCCAAAGAAATAACAATTATTGAAACATCATCATGGTATCGACGTCGATCCCCTTGTGGAATTTCAAGCAACTCATGAAACTCCATACCTAAAATAAAACATAATTACAAATTTCAGATTAGTTACACCTAAAAATTACATCTTTTTCCACCCTTAGAAACCAATTCAAGCATTTTGCATAAGTAAAAAGTACTTACCAGCTTTTTTTGCAGCGCGAAACAATACTGTCTCGATGAGATGTTGTGCTGGATCTCCTTCTGGTGACCATGAGATGAAATGTTCGACTTCTAATACAGCTTCTTCGTTTGTGAAGTACTGATAGAGCCCATCAGATGACAGTATCAAAAACCTGTCTCTTGGCCCTAACCTGTGATGATAGAGCGATGGAAGACAACTGATGTAGGGGGAAGTTCCAATATAGTCGATTCTGAACATCTCAAGAAGTGCATTGTTCCATTTAGGCTGCAGGAGAGCGAAGAAATGAAAGTTAATTATCCAATCGAGCATTCTTAAGTAGAGAAAAGAAAGACAAGGTATCAAAAACAGAGCATATAGTTATTGATTCAGCAATCCCACGCCTCATTTAGCCATTGCTTTAATATGAAAAAGGTGTTTGACAAGCTATAAGCCTGTTGGAAATAAGACGGCTAGTCTTTCATACATTTTAGGTTCTTGATAAGGGGTGCCATCATATTTGAAAGTAAACTTCCAAAAGATCCTTAAAAGTAAAGAGCATTGAAATTTTAGATGCCAAATAAACCTTTTGCAAGAATTGTTAAATGCAAAATGTTGATCACAGGAATAACACAAGTAGCATTCGGGTCGAATATGCCTTTCAACTTAATGAGAAAGGTAGCTTTTGCCATGTGTTGAAAAGGTTAATGAAAAAAGGCATAAACTTTGTTCTCAACAAGATATATAACAATCCATTTAGAGTGAATAAAGCAAGAATTCTTTCACAAGCACAAAGGGAATCAAAAGGACTTATTTTATTTTCCTACAATATTCTCAAGGGTTGACTTGATAACAAGCTAGAAAAGCAAATATTCCAACAGTACCAGTTTGAGGAAACCAGCACCAAAAGCCCTAGTAACCTTCAATGAACCTTTAACGCGGTCATTCATCAGGGCACATGGATCATCTGGATGTTCACTTTTTATTCTTTGAACTTCCTGTAACACAACAAATCAAGTTAACCGATCGAATTAAAAAAATATTTATTAGCCTAGAAGATATTTAAAATCAGAAATTAGATTGTCATACCTCTTCCACAGAGGTGCTATGATCTATACTAAGCTGGAAAGCAGTTAAATTAGGTACACAATCCGACTCATCGCCCTCGAAAAGTTCAAGATCTTTCAATGTTTCTTCATTAATCCTTTCCAAATCTTGACTCCACAGATTAGGCTCTTTCTTCTGAGCTAACACGGCTCGACTATCGCCTACATTCATCACATAAACATCCTCTCCTTTCATTAACATAACAAGAACACAAGAACCCATCAAAGCCAATTCAGGATTCTCCATATTCATCCTATCAGCTAGATCCAAATATGCATCCTCTGTTTTCTTCAATGCTTGAGAAAGAGCTTTTAATACATCAGCATGATTAACTGATCCTGATCCATTTGAACCATTTCCATTCAGCTGTTCCTTCAATCTCCTGTCAAGTTCTAATCTTTCCCTGTCCCATTCGCATCGCCATCGCCTCTGATTCTCTTCCCATTTCTTTGATACTCCTCTGTACCTGTTCTTTGAACCCTTCCCCCTCTTTTTCCTTAACCGCGAATCGAATGAAAGATCCTCCCTC